TTGCGTGTGAAAGCAAAGTTCCAGCGGAGAATACAATGACCTTCGCCTACGACAATCTTGCAAACAATCCCAAATAAATATCGCGCATACTTTTGCTAACTGATGGCAACTTGTCTCTAGGAAACGCGTTTCGTTGTTTCCCTTTAACACATCTCTTTCCGGAGCCGTATTTCTCACGGGTGCAATTCACGGTTGAAGTTGGTTTGCAGAAAATTATTGGATTTTGTGCGCCACCCAAGATTTTACCTCAGAATTTCCTGTATACGCCATAGAACTCTGGTACAAGCAGCCTATCTTAAGAGATCCAATTGCAGCAATTGTGGTATATCTTCGCTGATGAAAAGTAAGTTTGAAATACGTGTCAGTAGTCCGACACTGGCAGTGTTGAGTCCATTATTCCACACATAGTTGTAACTGAATTCTACCCGTATCGCAATAGTGCCCAAAGATATCAACATTGGTGGTGTCAAGGGATATTCTGTACCTCTAATTGTTAGTTTCACAATTCCTGTGAAATTGTTTCAAGGTATCCCTATCAGTTCTAATATTTTAGTAACTCACTCGGAGCTTTCGTACTTCGGGCTCAAAATTCTGCGCTCACTGCGGACTAATATCACCTCACTGACTTCTGTGAATGCGGATGAAACTAAGCAAATGATTTTTCAATGTTCCAAGGTTAGACGTGTCCTGCAATTATCCAAGGTGTGACTCGACATTGGGGATCCTATTTTCCATAAGAGACGAATTATTCCATTTGGATTGCGGGAAGCTGTTCGTCAAGCATTAACTTCAGTGCGTGGGAAAGACATACTGACTCATGCCAAGTCATCCAATTGGACAACTTCGATGGTTACACCACTATAGGCTGATGGCGTTAGTCCGAGCATTTGTGGAGACTACCAGCTAAAGCTAGATACGTGGTTACTACAACTTAAATGAAATACAGAGGATCCCAACGATGAAGTGTATCCTTTATCAGGTTCAGTTATATTCTGGAAAACGATCCAGACGATGTCTATCATCAAACACCACTGGGTGAAGCCTCTAGTAATCCTACCGTGTTTAACACACGTAATGGTTTATCCCGAAACAATTTTCCTCACTTTGGGGCGAATATTTCATTAGGTCTATTTCAATAAGTTATGGATGCCATTACAAAGGATTTGGAGGGAGTTGGTTAGTGCCGAGATGATGACATGGAACACGCTCCTGATGAAGCTACTCATTCTATGAGGCTGTCGGCATTAATGAAGCGATTTTCTGGGTTCAGTGTAGCTATTCACCCTGATAAATACACTATGGTTTTCTATCATTTTCGTGCCTTGGATGCACTGCATGTGGCCGCTATAAAAAAACCGATAAAACAATCTATCACCTTTGTTAAATGAGCCTTCATCAACCAGTTTACAAGAGCTGCTTTCAGCTCTAGGAGCACTTCCGTAATACTCACGTTTTATTACTAATTTCGCCAGAGATACAAGTTGCCTGTTTGATGTCGTACATTTCAACCAGTATAAGACGTTGCGTACCACGCTCCATGAGCGTCAAAATGTAGCTGTTTTGAAACTATTTTACACGAAACACCATTCGGCTATCATGCCTCTCCCGCTAGAATGGAAGCAATCCTTGAGCAGTGTGGTAGGCCAGTGATCTGCATTACCCGATTACTCTCAAAAGCCGAATGTGACTATCCTCAGGCACGACGTGAAGCACTTGTTATATTGTGTTGTCTAGCGGCTCAATGAGTATCTTTTCGGATCAGACTTCACTCTTGCTATTGATCATGATGCCTTAGATTTCTTGTATATTCCTAAAAAATCATTAGCGCAGCTCCCTGCCACTGAATTCGTACACCTGCACGATTGTTCATCGCAGTGCAAAAATGTTTTTAACGTGAATTTCTCCTCTAGAAATCCATCATGAGATTCGGATACAAACAAGTGAGATTGTTTATTGTTTCAACCATTACTAGTCAAGCGGGATGGCCTTGTTACTGATACTAAGATATATTCCTCTCCCATTTGTTTTGCGTTGAAACTTGGCTGGGAGCAACAGTAGTGACCAAAATTTCCTGTATTTACTGTCGCCGCCAAGCCTTGTCCATTGTCCAGAATGTTTTGTGCTTTGAGCGTAGCGTTATCATTCCATTGACTCAGCGACGGGCTGTTCTAATAGATGACGCTCTGGTCATCTGAGTGTTGACAAAATGATATCCCTGGCATGCTTGTCATGTTGATGGTCGGAACTGGATTCTGCCATCATATACACTGCTAACAATTGTGTTAAATGTGCACCAATAATGCATAACGAGTCTTTACAGTGGCACGGTAACCAGTTATTTGTGAAAAGACTTGATCGAGTTAATGGCGAATACTGCGATCCTGTTTTCGGTAAATACTCTAATTTACTTGTTACGGGCGCGTATACACGATGGCCTGAAATGTTTCCAAACTAAGTCTCTAAGTGCCAAACTCATGCAGCAAACATTGAACAAAGTATTCAGCCATGGATGTGCCCAATCGATTTTAAGTAACTGACAATGACACATACTCCATTGCAGAATCCCTCGAGTAATGGGTAAGGGGCGTTGGATGTCGACATTGAGTTACTGGTCCGCGACTTCCCCAATCAAATGGGCTTGCTGAGAACTTTTATCCGAACATTGAAGTCCGCCATCACTCCATTCTCGCCTGCTTGTTTTGTGGACTTGGATCACGGGATTAATAATTTTCAAATGCAACACCGGAATAACATTCATTCCGTTAATGGGGAGAGTCCCGCGCTTTCATTCAAATCTGGCTCTTTTAGTACAAGTCTTGACTGTTCGAAAACGACTGCAATTACATTTTTTTCGGATGTAATGGTTTACGACGTGCTACACGAAAAATACTCTCATCAACTGGTAAACTGTGGACTACACAACCGTGCGGCTGCATTTTCTGGTGCTCCGCCTTTGAAAGAGTTTTCATGGATCTATTCTATCTTACACCGTTGATCTGCTTGATTGCTTGATCGCTTGCTCTCCGCAATTGGCTCCGCTCTTGGGCCTACTTTATTTTTATTATGCGTAAACGGTATACACGAGCTCGTGGGCAATAAAATCACTTTATTCGCGGACGATATCAAGATATGGTCAAGCAGACGCACGATTGAACACAGTCACCGAGTGCAAAACGATCTCGATACACTTTATGATTGGTCACTGAAAAACAGACTACCGTTTAATCTACAAAAATGTAGAATGCTCCGTGTACGGAAGCCCTTTGCATATAACTGTACGATGGGTCCACAACCATTTTCTTGGAAGAAAAAGATCTGGACGTGTGGGTTAGCAGCTGTTTAAATAACTCCTTGCAATGCACAGCCGTCTACAAGCGGACCTCACAAGTCCTGTCGCCCGTAAAACGGATTTTTGGTCTTTTCGCTCGACTGGCACTGCCCCGCGTAATCAATAACCTCATCCGACCAACCATGGAGTACGCTATACCACCTTGGTCACCATGGCTTCAAAAAGATATAATTCTTCTACAGCGAATATATCATCGAGCCACGAAGCTGGTAACTGGATTTCATAAGAAACCATACGAAGGCAGGATTGCCAGTATCAACCCATTTGACTTCTACTATCGGTGCATCAGGGGAAACCTAATTCTAACATATAATGTACTGAAGATGCCTAATCATCCGCAGAAAAATCTTTTTGTCCGACTTCCATCCACAGCCATACACAATTTCGAGTCACTGATGACGAGTTTACCTTTATTAGCGTTGGCAAACATACAGTACGACAGTTGTAAATAATTCTAGCCAGTTAACAAATTTTGTACGACAAAAGTGAGGACGTTCATGTGTAACGAAAATAAGAAGAGTAATGCCTAATCATCCGCAGAAAAATCTTTTTGTCCGACTTCCATCCACAGCCATACACAATTTCGAGTCACTGATGACGAGTTTACCTTTATTAGCGTTGGCAAACATACAGTACGACAGTTGTAAATAATTCTAGCCAGTTAACAAATTTTGTACGACAAAAGTGAGGACGTTCATGTGTAACGAAAATAATAAATGAAGAGTAATCATTCGGGTGTAGTACCGTGCTACTCAGAAGAAACACGACGTGTGGGTTAACGCTCAATTATAGACAAGAGCGGTCGGAATGCAAGGATTTGACCCGAACCATAGCCCCTCCAATCAGCAAGTTTGCGCCCTAACCACTGAACTGCTTAGTCCGTCATTTAGGTTAGATAACCTACAGGCTATGGAAACAAATGGCAGTTCACATATAGCTTGTCCCGCGAAATGCCAGCTAGCTTGCCGAACTTCGTTGCATTTCACAGATGACGAAATGCATCTGTCATCTCGATAAATACACCGAATTTTATAACAACATGTTTTTTCAAAAGTGACCCGACTGAATCTCTCTGTGGGGACTTTTACTCAAAATTTTGCCGTATTTAATCACGTGACCTAACACTGTTCTCTTTTTCACCTATTCTGTTGTTTCAGTCTTGTTTCAGTGTGTATGGTGGACTGGGTCATTGCACTAATCGCGGCCCACCCAGGAAAACAGGAATGCTAAAACGTTTGTCAGTTACAGGTGATTGAGTACGGGGACACTTATTCTTCCAGTGGCCAGACGCGCCACACATGTAAGCACCGGCTGCTTTGAGCGTGCCCCCTGATACCGTCTTCGCGGCTCCAAGCTGTTCCGAGAGGTAATTTACTCTGGGCTGCAGTTTCTCCACTAGTGAACCATCCCTCATCTCGTGCGACTGCAATGCGGCCACTGGTGCCTCGGGCAGTTTTGGTGGTAACCCAAATTGGGCGCTAAGCGCCGGCTGCACATCTTCGACGAACTGGTCGGAAAGCAACTAGTGGCGCGACGCTCCGTCCAGTCACGGGAAGGCGCGATCCAACGACTGCTCTATGTCGGCAAACAACACAAACGGGCCAGATCCAGATACCATCCTGGTTGTATTGAACCGCCTCGTAGCTTCCAGACGGTCGGCTCGCGTGTCGAACTCCACTGGAAGGACCCCGTTTGCGGTGGCTTAGTCCATCTTCAAGAACCTCGTCTGGCCGCATCCAGGGCCGCCTTCGCCCAGCCCATGGGGAGGATCTTCAGCGTCGCGAACTGAATCCGGTCTGTCTTCAGTCCGGCGGCATTCACGGCCAAATCAAAGTACTCCAGGTTGGTTCGAACATCCCCATCCTCAAAGGGTTGTGACCACGGAACCTTGATCCTTATTCTGGTCACAGCACTAACTAGGAGGATGAGGGCCTTCGCTGCGGAGTATTTTATTACGAAATGTCAAATGACAAGTCACAGTCTATGGGACAGTAAAGCAAACCTCTCATATGCATCATAATTAGAAAAAGTAAACAGCCATCTTCAATTAAACGCGTCTTGCTGAACGTTCCTGGTTATCCTTTGAGTGTTTCTCGAGTCCAAGCAAATGATACAACTCGAGTCTAAGCGAGTTTACAGGAAGATAACATAGTAATCTCATGTCTGCCCCAATGGTATTATCACGGTTACGTTAGCGATCCATGAGTATATCAGATGAAGAATGATTATATTAGTTGCCTGAAAATATCCGATAACTCGTCAATCAAGGAGCCTGTCAACAATATGTGACTATGTGATGTGAATGAGAGCTAATAGCTTTACTGATGGGCAGTTCTTGGCCCAACATTTACCTGGTTGTTCCGTAGGCGAATTAAGGAACGACAACCAGACTGATCTAGTGGAGAGTTTATTCTCACAAAATGAAACAAATAATTTTAAGCACAGGTTTGAAATTGTTCGCATTCGTACTAAGAACGTGAGCATAAAAAGGTTATTTTGAAAGCTTCAGCACATCAGAAGGCTCGGCATGCATAACATCCTCTGATTCGATATACCATACCGTCAAGTATGAGCTGGTCTCAGGGTTACCATCTCTTGGATTCCAACAGCCAATTGACCTCGAGCATTTTTTGACATGTAAAAGCATACAATGGTTAATGTTAGTAAAAAAAGTCCATCAGCACAATACGATCTCAATTGTGTTGTCTGAGCTGCTTGAATGTTTACATGTCTAATTTTCTGTTGGGTAGATCACTTCAGTTCGTACCAGACGTCGAAGGTGGGCCAGTGAACGCGATACTCAACAGTCGTAGGACTTAAGGCTGAGTCTTCCACATGCGCCAGCAACGACTATGTAACTGCATTCTTTACGAAAAAAACCCGCGCAACCAGTGAATCGTTGACCGGATATTGTGTCAAAAGCGGCGGACAATATCACAGAAAAGTGGATAAAATTACGAGTGAATATTTGAGACTCCAAGTTACATATTGACTGGTCACCAAATGATCATGACCTCTTTGGAGGAACCGTACTCAATATGAGCTACTTTCTGCCAAAACTCATAGCTTTTGCGTCGTTCAATTTGGATACATCTAATCAATGACCCAAAAAAAACGAAGAATGACGGTACGTTTACAGGTGTTTCACTGTCATCGGCATAGGAAGCGTCATCACCGCGGAAGACCAATAGCTGCTGAAACCCTTGCAATTCAACTTTTGGATTGGCTGGCATTTTAGCAACCAGATACCGAAGTACCTGTAAATTCAACCGAGGTGGAACTGTCTCGACATATTTTCAGTGCTTGTACCGGTCAAACAAAATGCATTCTAAAATTGCTCGTACCGACTTATGTGTTCTGTCCCATTGCTTTTAAAAGCTTCAGTTTGCGCAGCAGTTAACCTGTCTGATGCTCACAGCACTACAGTTGAACACAATCAGCTGATATTCAAAGTGACAAAGTAGCAGTATTAATGGTGGGAACATAATAATAATAGTGATACTTTAGCTGCAGCACAGCTTTGGTATACAGGGGCCATGTTGCTCGAGGGAAGCACAAGGCCTGAGCAATCGACGGTTAGCCCAAGCCTGGACAGGACTCATCGAGATGCCGAGGCTCGACTGGAATTTCCGGACATAAGAACTGAATTATCATAAGCTCCCGAACAAATTGAAATTCCGGAAGCAACCTTCACGGCGGCAATGAAGTTTAACCTTTCCCTTGAGATTGACATCGGTTACCTACCATAGCTTCCAGCGTTTACATTGTGCGTTAGTTTCAAAGAAGACCTGCAGCAAGCTGTGAATGTTGCGGGAGGTTTTTGGGCTGCGAAAAAATAGTCGATTTTAATCAAGTCACGCAAACGCTTTTTCATGTTCAAACCAGCGTCTCATGAAATTTTAGATGTGTCACCACTGGTGTAACGGTGATACTACTGATCGGGAGGCACGCGAGTAGTATGTGTTGTCCGTAGAATTTCACTTTGGGTCGATTGAATAATGGAGCTCTGTTGCGGAATTCGTGGGACCACTGTGGAACATTCGCTTGGATTTGACCAACGAATGGGTGGAGACATCGAACCTCTAGGATGACGCGTTCGGGAGAAGATCTGCGTCCAGTTTTTGGATCTAAGATGCAGATTAGTGTTTTGCTTCCCTGTTCAATGGTCTGTAACCGGTCAGTTGGCATTTCCGAATAAATAACTCCACAGCAAGGGCCTTCTTCCTTTCACTGGTAGGCTCTGGCTACTGCTCAACCAAATGTCGGGTTTTGTCAGTAATAATTCGTCTAATTTTTGCCACCTTTTTGGAAGACAGCCGTGATTCCGTACATGAATTTATGTTTCTGTGAATTTTATAAGAGCCCGCGTTTGTTGGCCGGGCATGCAAACCAACTGAATCACCATGAACTACTTAGAATGCTTGAATAGCTGAATAAGTGGATCAGTTTGGGTATTCAGCTTCGCATGTCATCTAGCTTTCGAAAATTTCCGTAAGTACATCGGTGACTGCGGCGAGATAGGTTATCAAATTGTCTTTTATGTGCTAAATTGTTTCATATGGCATTGGTCAAGTACCGCAACGCTGAAGATATGCTCCCTGCTATTGCTCATGTTTAAACGTAACAACGCAATACAAACAAGCTTGCTAGTGAAATCATACTGTTTACTCGTACATTAGACTCCCGTTAATTTGACGTGAGCTTTGCACCATTTGAAGTCACCCTCTCTCTCTTGCCCATTACATTATACAGGTGTTCGGCGGCGGAACAAAATCCACTGACTTGATGAACATCGGTGATGAGGTGTGTTAAGAAAGTTTGTGAATATGGATAAGTTTTCGTTTGGTGACCGGACTTGTTCCAACCACATTCCACATTATGCTATCTGAAAAACAATTGCGTAAAAGTCATTTTTACCTCATTCCGTCACATGTGTAGGATATTCAAGTTTGAAGTGATTATCATTCAAAAATTCAGCCATTCAGTTGGCAATTTAATCATTTGCTTACTTCTCAGGAAACACTGCCTTCTATGCTGAGATGGAATGAAACAGCATGAACGGTAACATATTCCAGGATAAGCGAGATCTTATGAGTTTCAGAAGTGCTTGGTAAACAATCGGTAGTTTTCATTTAAGCAGTGCTTCGATTTTGACACAAAAGCTTCATCAGGCCAACTGAGCAGGTCACCAAATCGGTCATATTATCAGAGCGGGGAACCATTCAGTGACCCTACTTCTGATGATCAAACTGGATCAGTGTTGAGTGAGGATTAAGGCTAGTGTCGGTTACTGTGGTTGTCAGAATCTTACTTTGGTGGATTGGAGGAGTTTCTAATAACATCTGACCCGGTTTGGTTCATTCGTGTTCCATTTCAGGGTGCACTGGCAGAATGTCCTTGTTATTTGTAAGGTTGTGAGTGCTCCGCCAATTTGGTTTATGCGGCTGGGCGGAAGTCATGTGGAATTCAAAGGATGGGTACTCTTCCCTCTGATGAATGCGAACCAACACGTGTCATCTCGACTGATCCAAAACCATTTCTTTGCACGCCTGTCAAATCAACACCTTCTATGATGTTAACACTGGGATGCTTGGCAAGGTCTTTTGTCAAGGATATCAGCCACGTGGACAGTGTCCTCGCCTCAAAACCTCAAACTTTGCTTAATCTTTTCAAGTAACAATATCTAGTGCGAATACGGCAACTGCCGAATCTTTCAGTAACGGTTGATATTTATCTAAGTTTTCTGGAGGCCTGTTCATATTTCTATCATGCTTTCCGATTCTGGTGTGTAGTTCCCTGGTTGTCTGTCCTACATAGATATTGATGCAGTCATTACGCCTAGTGTTGAATACGCATACTCCGGTTCAGTTTGCCGAGATTGAAACGTTTACTCGCGCCAGTGCACAGCACGAAGCATTCTCTCTTTCGAAAGCTATTCTTATATAACTCGTCTTCAGAATTCTTTGAATGACCCCGGATGTCCCTGGTTTATATGGAATAACAACGGTCCCGATTCTTTCCTTGTTGGGTTTCTATACCGGTAGCATCACCTTTCGAAATTCAGGCTAGCTAGCTAGGTTTACACGTGCCCGAAATTTGTTGTTGCTTCAATTTTGGCCGCTGTCCGATTAGCTGCTTCTGAGCACACGGCCCTTACACGCTTAAACATCGGTGAGGCTATGCTAGGGAATACCGATGTTGGATGGGCAGACGAGCAGTTCAAGACTGCCTTAGGGCCGGTTGGTTTCTCGAACATTGTGGTCTTTAGTTGACCCTAACCTTATGTGCCATGTAGTCTGTAAAGGTCTGTGGACTTGAAATTGACTGTCTCCATACTAAATTTGATCGGTGGTGGCAGTTCATTCAGATAATTAAAAACTCTCCAGCCTTTTTCCGTTTGTTTATGACAAATGTGCCATCTACATACGAACCAGGATAACTTTGGCGGGTATAGAAATCCGGCTAAAGCTCTCTGTTTAAATTATACCGTAAATATATTTGACAAAACCGGCAGCATTGGAGATATCGTTGTTAAAATCCGTGTTCTTGAGTACGAACCAATGAGTCAAAAAGCGAAGTAAGCGAGATTCAGACATGCTTTCATACCTTCCAATATTTAATCTACGTAATCTATGTTCGTTCTGAAAAGGTGGCTTTCGCCTATAACGGTCAATTGGCTATTCCTAAAGAATCCCTTTTCGGCACATGTAAACATAACGAATTCAAATCGAAAGTTGCAAGGATGCCATCTGGTTAAACAGTGGCACCCGTTTCTTTGTTGGTGAAGGCACGTGAATTATTAATGTAAGCACTAGATTTCCCGGTGAGCGGCTTTAAACACC